GACACTTTCACATACAGTTTTGTTATGCAAAAGTGTCCCCTATTGTTTTGTAGAGGGGACACTTTTGCATAGTGTCGTTTTGCTATAAGTTTCGGTCCCCCCCGGACACTTTCGCATACAGTTTTGTTATGCAAAAGTGTCCCCCTATTGTTTTACAGAGGGGACACTTTTGCATAGTGTCGTTTTGCTATGCATTTCGGTCCCCCCGGACACTTTCGCATACATTTGTGTTATGCAAAAGTGTCCCCCTATTGTTTTATAGAGGGGACACTTTTGCATAGTGTCGTTTTGCTATGCGTTTCGGTCCCCCCCGGACACTTTCGCATACAGTTTTGTTATGCAAAAGTGTCCCCCTATTGTTTTATAGAGGGGACACTTTTGCATAGTGTCGTTTTGCTATGCATTTCGGTCCCCCCGGACACTTTCGCATACAGTTTTGTTATGCAAAAGTGTCCCCCTATTGTTTTATAGAGGGGACACTTTTGCATAGTGTCGTTTTGCTATGCGTTTCGGTCCCCCCGGACACTTTCGCATGGGGGGACCAAAACGCATATTACACCGGATCCGGAAACGACCAAGACAAGGGGCAAGGGGGGCGAGCTTGAGTAAAAGGACATTTGAAAAAATTAATTCCCAGCTAACAAAAATTTATTCGTAACTGTCATTTTCTTTCGATCCTCTGTCGGTATCTCAAAAATCGGCTAAATTTTGGCATAAGAATTTTTTTCACAGGTTTCGAGAAATGTCGTCATCAGTAAGGCAATACAGTCAGGATTTCATATGAATCTCATGGATTTCCTACAAAAGACCGGTGTCAAGGACACTTCTATGAAAAGGGCACTTAAGCCCCCCTTGCCCCTCCTATCAAAAGGCAACAGGGGCAGTTGACCCCCTGTGCCCCCCTCTCCAGCGTCCCTGACCTCTTTCTATTCCAGTATGGCAACTGCACTCCTGAGAAATTTTTGTAAAACAACGAGTGAACTCTTGCACACCCAAAAGATAGGCGTGTTTAGGTGTGTTTTTGGATGTGGTGCAAATTAAAAAGTTTTTTCAAATACAGCAAAATATCCCTTCAAATTTGTTTGCAATTGAGCTTGGAAAGAAGTGTGCCATTCCAAATTGAGTGATCCACTTAAGATCAGGGCTGCCAAAAAGTTTCAGTTGGCCTGGGGTAAAACTGAAGAAAAGCTCCTTGCAAGCAAACAGAAAATTCTTGTCACCCTGTTCTTTAGATTAAGAGGCGGATCCAGACTACAGCAACTTATGCAGAGGCATAAGTCAGATTTTTACAACAACAAAATGAAATGGAAATTATTAATCAAAAGTTTCTTTGGCAAATTCTTTAGCGACGCTGTTGATACAAACAACCTGCAGACGACAGGGCATTGTTTTGCTGACTATCTTTCGGCCTCTGCACAGAATAGCCGAGAGGTGATTCTAGGCATTTATCTGGTCCGTATTTTCTGAATCCAGAAACTTGTTTGTCCCTCGAGAGCCAATCACTGCTTGTTTGACCTATGCAAATGTCTTGTAAGCCAATCAGAGTGTACTTCACCTTTGCAATCTTTGGGGCGATCATAGGTGAGATTTGATTTATCAAATTAGAAGTTGAGCTTGCCTCTGCAGCGGTACAGCCAACCAATAGGAATCAGAGTTGACCTATGCAATTGTTTACAGAGGACTTCTCTAATTGTTTGTTGCAACCAATGAAATGAGAATTGACTATCACTGCTTCACCTCTGCTAAGGAACTTCTAGCTAAGTTAGTCAACCTTGCAGTGTCTGTTCTGTAGTGTTGAGGTATGACCACTGCTTTTGGAATGTGGGGGTCCCTGGTTTGAATCCTACCGGGATCGGGCTACTTAATCTTTTTTCCTTCGAATTGCAGGTAAATTAAGCCTTCTCTTTGCAAGTTGTTTCCTTAGAATTCCATTTTGGAACACCCTATTCAATATCAGTGATACTGATTTTATTCAGAAATATTTGGGCGTTTCCAGCACAAAAGGGCTTGGCTTCTCTTTCTGACAACCTTTGCATAGGTCAGAATTCAGGCTGGATATGCGCCCGCACCTAAGTCATTTTCTTGCAATCGTTTCAATATTACTTTGTTTCAATTGTTTCATTGTCATGTTTTACCATCATTTACTATACTATAAATGGATTTATTCCATTCTTAAAATGGAATTCCTTTCTTTATGAGGTTCCCTAGACATCAAGGCAGTTTGCCCCCCTGTCCCCATCTCAGTGGCCCTGCTTTAGATCATCCTCATGATGCTCTTAGGATGCTAATGTTTTTGGCCTTTTTGACCTTTTTTTTCTTCCCTGACATTTTATTTAAAAATTTTATATCTAGTTCTATCCTAGTAAATCTGTATTTTATTTTGATTTTATCTCGAATTTCTGTCTTTTTTCTATCTTTAACCTCACTGTATTGACATCCAATTGAACAAGGAAAGAACAAGTTAGTACATATAACTAAAAAACTAGAAAGCATGTGAGCATTGGGTGTGTCCTTTGCAGTGGAATTTTGAATTATACAACAATTTTTGAGCGAATGATAATTTTCTTATTAAAAAATTCCATAATTTGAGAATTTTGAAAACTTAAATAGCATTAATGTTCCACTTTTAAGGCAGTGGCAAGAATGTTTACATCTTTTTAGAGGCCAATCTTTCCTAGAAAGGGCAGATAACAAGCACCCAAACCATGCTGAAACCTAAGAAGATGAACATTCAAAGATACATTCAAGCTAACACTAGCCAGATATTTCATAACTTGGACAATAATGTGTGGTCCCAGTCCATTTGGTTTGAATACTATCAATTTTCATTTAATTTGTTGGATAGGACATTTTTGTAAATTTTATGGCATAAGGCCTCTAACCATTTCTAGTTATGCCATAACTACACCTTCAGAAATGTCTCTTGAATTAAAAAATATATTGTTAATGGAAGTCCCAAAACAATATCACAAAGAAAAATTAATGCTAAGTGGGATTTAAAAAGCAAAGCTATTTAGTCACGAACGGTTGTGACAATATTCAAAATCCAGTTCTTGTGAATCATTATCAGAATCATTAAATGAACAGCGGTAAATGGTATTAGGTTTCATGATAAGCAACTCTTTTTAAGTCGTGCAGATTTAGAGAATCTGCCCAGTTGTCTTTTCATATAGCGGTTTTTTAGCTGATCTACGGTATGAAATTGAAACAAACTGTTACTGTGTAAACAAATGAAAATGGTTATCACCCTAGGACTCAA